CTTAACGGAGAGTACTGAGAGAGAAGAAAATCAGAATGAAAGAGCACCATTAAAAATGAGATTAGCCCACGACCTCAGAGTTTTCTTTTTGTGACTATAGAGAGCAGCAGCAATGCTTTAGCACCTTTCCGTGGTAAATCTTGTCTTTTCAGTAATGAACACTAAACGCCCTGAGAAGGCGTACGCTACAGGCAGCATGTTAAAGCTTGCCACTCCGTTTGCTGTGCATGAGCCTGCTAATTGTCTCAGCTATTTATAACTGGGTTTAACAACTGCAGCACCAGTAGCAAAGATAAGGGAATTTACTGCTATATATTCATAGGCTTTGGTCTATGCTTGCTGGTTTCATAAAACGTTCGCATAAGCTGACCTTTCTGCTGCGGAGGTATTAGAAAGAGGCCGCGATACAGATGCTGCATCTTTCATGTAGTCCTTGTTATATAGTTTTCAAAGGTTTCATTGATGAGGGTTCAAGCACGAAAGATACCGCAAAAGAAGTTTCTGATTGTTTCATTACAAGATGCACCTATATGCAGCATGTAAACGTATGATTTTTAAGGTGAAGAAACAAGTAGATAGTTTAGAAATGGGCTCACTAAGGCAATAATGGTCAGATATGTCACTTGATTTCTTATGTACAGTTAACCAGAAGGATATTTAGCACTAATTTGACATCTCACTATTAACTATTCTCACAAATAAATGGAAGTATAGAAATGTACATCACCTTTATTGGGCATCAGCTTTGGTATAGCCCAGTATCCTACAATTTATGATCCCTTTTGCTATCCCTGTAGAATGGCTTTAAAGTTTACCTGGTGCAAATTCAGACTTTTAATCTTTATAATAAAACGTATATTTAACAACAATTAAATGTTGAAACAGCTTGCTGACAGATGGGAGGGATTTTCTATCTCCTGAAGTTTTCAAAAATGTCTTTCAAAAAATATATTCATTTTATGGTCTGTGTTTTAGAGAAGACTGAACTAGACTATCACAGAGTTATTTTTATTGGCTTTATATTTTATCTAACTTTTTATTCTCTTTTTTTTACTTTACTATTCTCTATGTAGTGTTTTTTATTCTACTAATTCCTACCTAAAATTGTTTTTACTACGTAACATTTAAGCCCAGCTACCACCTTAGCCAGCCAAGTAATAACCTAGGCTGTTAATATACATTACATTATAGGGAATGAATAATTTGTGCCTTCAGAACCAGACCAGTTTCTAAAATCGTTATTGGCATAGTGAAATACACTGTGGGCCATGATATCAGATACTTTGTAGTAAGTTATGTCCTTACACTCAAGCAGTAAATTTGTCAACGTTATTACAAAAAGGGAAGACGTTTATTGGGGTTCTTCTTGGTTTTTTATGTTCTTTACCAAAAGCACATGTATTACTAAGAAGATCCCGTATTTCTTAAATATAAAACAGAAATGAATATTGATCTTTGAGCTTTGGTTTGGTTTTTTTGCTGATTTCTTTTCTGAAATGAGGTAACTGGGTTTGGTGCTTTGTTCAAAAATTGAATGGCTGAGATATTAAGCTGTGGAATGTGGTTACAACTCATCTGTCTTAATAACTGTGTAAAGAAATTTCATAAGAATTTTTATTATTCTCTTACGTGTAGCAGTTTAAATAACCTTTATTAATACACTCCATTGAACAGTAACATACATTTTTGAAATGTCATAAATACAGAGGGGACTTAACTACCACCACTATGCAGTGGTCGCTGTTTAAAAGCTCAGCAAGACTGATATTTGCCATGCAACAGAATCTGAAACACTACCTGTAGTTCACATTCTATAGGTAATACTGTAGGCTGTTAAGCCTTTATTCATTTGGCTAAAGCAGCTTGTTAAATGACTTCAGTAATTTTAGAATCAAAATGATTATTTCCAAGATATAGTCATGATTTGTTTTGCTTTTAAAGGAAAAAACTCTTGTATTTCATTTCTAATTAAAAGCAGTTCAAAATGGAGTTGCAAAGTTGAGGTTGTTGGGCAGTTGTTATCTGGTACTGTCCTCTGTTAGTGAAAGTTTGCAAATTAATCCCTCCATCAACAAAACAGAGGAGACAGAGTAAAAGGGGATTTAGGTTGAAAATTGGCTGGACAAATTTTCCATAGGGTTTTTATTAATGACTTGATATCTAGTTGGTATCTGGTAACAAGCACAGTGCCTCGGGGATCTGTTTTGGAGCCCCGGTTATTCAATATCTTCATCAACAGCCTGGAAGATGAAGCAGAATGATCCCTTAGGAAACTTGGAGGTGACACTTGACTAGAGAGAAGAGGTTGGCGTATTGAGTTGCAGAGCTACAGTTCAGAGGGACCTTTACAAACTTGAGGGTTAGGCTAAGAGGAATCCAAGAAGTTCAATGAGGAGAACTGCAGGTTTCTGCCCTGGGGCTGTCATAACCCTCTTCATCAGCGTGGCAGGACCTGACCTGAGCTCCAGCCTGCAGAGAGGGACCCGCGTTACAGCGGACACCGAGTGGGAGCAGGAGCCAACAGTTAGCTTTTGTTGCAAAGCAGGCAACACACTGGACTTTCAGGAAGAATGTGGCTAGCAGATCGCTGAAAGTTAGTGCCCTCCAGTAGTGCAAGGCCACACGTAAATCCTGTGGCAAGTTTTGGATCCCCCAGTTCAAGAAGGATGTTGAGAAACTGAAGGGGGTCCCACAGGCAACTGCTGATGTTGGATTTGTTTCTTTTCGTGAAGATGGGAATCTAATAGCAGCAAACTACTTGAAGACAGCAGAGCCAAACCCTTCTTGGTAGGGGCAGGTGGTAATGGTGCAAATTGTGGCTTAGGAGGTTCAGGCTCACGTTAGAAAAAACTCCAGGAGGAGGGTAGAGCAGCGATGAAACAGCTTATCCAGGGAGGTGCTGGGATCCTGCCTCCTGGGAGGTTTTCAGGGGTCAGCAGGACAAAGTAATGGTTTGCACGATACGATACCCGAAGGTCCCTTTAAATTAGTGTTTTATGAGTATATGATCCTATTCACTTGAAAAAATTAAGCATGTATTATTTTATAGGACTATACTAGCTACAAGACCTTTGCCTCTTTGATCTCTGATCTGCAAACCAATGAAGCATATGCATAATTTAAAGCATGCAGTGTGGTGAGATGCACAAAGGCATCTCAGAATTGCAGCATTACACGACTGCTAAGTTAAACAGGATCTGCAAAGATCTGAACCATCTGTTTGCATGTCCTTAAGGGAAGATCCTTTTGCTAAACGTTTTTAGATCCTTAAAGGCATCTGAGATGATTTTAAAAGATTCCTTGTGGGTTTTCCAGCATGCAATTCTGTTCGTTGAAACGTGCTTAAAATTATGCAGTGTTACTTTAACTCTTTGCGCTAAGTTTCACTTTGAGTGCTTTGCTAGGACAAAGGCAAAACGCCCTATGGCTATGTAGGTTTAAGCCATTTGTTAACTCAAATGGATTTTAAAGGCAAGCATTTTTTTTTATCGTTATTTAAATAAATAGTGAAGCTTATTCACACTAATTTAGATTCTTTAGTTCAGCTCTGCCTAAGCTCTGTTGCTTCCGCTGCATACAGAAGAATTTGGATTGCAGGTGTAGGATTGATTTGCAAAACCTATATGACAGCTTGACTTGAAGCACTGCCTCAAGTATGCGCGCACTTGACTGTTGCTATACTGCCTGAAAGTTGCAGGCAAGGGATTTTTTATATGGTTTTACAAGGAAATAGGATGTGTAAATTGGTATTGTATAAAGCAAGATAGTCGTTCAGTGAACAATAGACTGTTTCATTATATCAGTGCTTTCTAATGGTTCATTCTCTTCAAAGAACTTCAAAACTTCTAACGGTTCATTCTCTTCAAAGAACTTCAAAAAGCTGAATTCTGCTTTGCTATTAAAGTAGGTTCATCTATTATGTGGCCCAAACAATGTTATCTTGGGGTAGGTCTTTAGAGAAAGAAAATATCTTAAAATATAAAAAGGGAGGTATAATGTAGTGCTGGAGAGGTCAGTGCGATATGCATCACTGTGAGAAGTTTAATACCTGTATCTGCATTTTATTCTAATTGATGGTTCTGTCTGGTGTTTGAAAAGCCCTAAATTACTGATGCTTATGTGATGGGATGTCTGTCGTCCAAGTATGCATGAAAATGGCACCGCACCGTCGCGGTCTGTTAAAAAATGATTTGTTGAAAATTGACTTTGAGTGTTTGTCCTGGAGGTCAGAGTTCCATTTAGAGGGCTCATGTTTCCATAGAAATATCTAGAAATGCTGCAGATAGGCCTCACTATTAAAGGAATGAGCTTGATATATGTACCTGGCAATGATTTTGATCCATTAAAATGGGAGAAATAAGTGGAGCAAAACAGCTGGGACAATTTCTAAGTAAATTCATCAGTCATTCAGGAGCTATGCATTTAAAATACCTATAAATAATAGAATGCTCCATCTAAATGGAAGCTTTTTATTGATATGTAAGTACAGTGTCACCCTGAATTTTCATTTTTAACTTATCATTTCCTTGTGTTTAGAACCAGATCAGGCAAGTTATTTTACTTCTTTTTTTCTACTTTATTTTAACGGCATTATTTTGTATGATGAGTGAAAATGAAATTGATATAGTTGTTACAGCTTCAAAATGACTTTCAGGTAATAAGTAACTGTTTGGAAACTACTACTCCATTTTTAATATTATCTTGGCAATTGGAGACTGGAAAAAATAATACGATAACTTTTATGTTTTGCCACTGATATTTGTAAATTCCCTTTATTCATGTTCTTACAATATGTTGTAGCTCTTTAAGTATTTTCTTTCCCTTCTGTGATGACGATCACGGGAATAATAATGCTATAAAGGCAGGAAGGAGGATGGAAATAGGGAGAAAGGACCACTGCAAACCCAGTTTTTGCTTTTAAAAATAGAGGCTCAGTTCTCTCAGGTTTACAAAGGAGGCATAAGGAAACAAACGCTTAGGTTTTCCATTTGTTTTAATAGATAAAAAGATGGCCTACCACAAAGTGAACGCCGAGCAGAGAGCACAAGGGCACTCTCCGTACCTTGACAACGACGACCTCCAGGCCACGGCGCTGGACTTGGAATGGGACATGGAGAAGGAACTGGAGGAGCCCGGCTTTGATCACTTCTGCCTGGATGGTGCAGCCCAGCCTCCGCTGGGGAACTCGCAGAGCCCTGACCTTGATCTCGAGCCCATTCAGCCATCCGCGTCTCCTAAAGGGAGATTCCAGCGACTTCAGGAAGATCCAGACTACATCTCACATTACGCAAGACAGGCACCAAAGAGCAACCACTGCAGTTTTAGTCAGATATTTAAAATACTTTGCACTGTTTTGATTTTATTTATTTTGGGGATTTTGATAGGCTATTACGCACACAAGAAATGCCCTTCTTCCTCAGCATCTCCAGAACCAAATAACCCTCACGTCTACCAAGAGATTCTCGAGGAAATCAAAGCTGAAAATATTCAACAGATTTACAGGTATGTACCTTGACATATTTTTGTCTAAATGCAATCAGGTGCCAATGTTAAGACTTCCTGTGATTTGTTTTATGTGGTATCTTATTAACAGCTTATTAATAGCTTTGAATTTTTCTTCCTGGGTTCAGTTTTATCGTGATGCTTGGGACACTTTCTATATACATGTACGGGGGAAAGAGAGAATGAAACTAGAATGATGGCAGCTGCATGTGGATTTGTGTTAGTCATCCTGTTACGGAAATATTGTTACTGTAAGAGAGTCATTGTTTTTGTTTTAATAACATTCTGTTGCTAAATATTAATATCACCCTTATTGTACATGAACTGGAAAATGTAGACAATTCGACGTAAATGGAAATATAGAGAAATCAGCTTTCTAAATCCAGTCAGTTGTTGAATGGTATTGTCAAACTGCAAGCAAGATTTTAGACTCCATTTTGTACTATTTCATGCTTTAAGAAATCCCTATCTAATCACTGACAGTTGAAGTGGATCCTGACTTTTGTTTTTCAGTCTGTAAGGTGAAGTAAATCTTTGGTCTGCATGGGTGGTAAGGAGGAAAAAACTGAAGCTGCTGAACTCTGAAGGACTGCGGTTTTTCAACACTCGAACAGACAAATAATTCCTTTCCCAAGATATTTTTTAAATTTACCTGTTTTTAAAGCCAATGTTTTAATCCTTAGGACCTGTTGTATGGATATGACGTGTTGTAAAACAGCCACTGAAACCCCTGGCTGGCTTTGCTATACATATATATAAATATATATATATATTTTTTTTTGATGTGGGCTATTTCCACTGATTGGGAAGTTTATATAGCACTCATCGCTGTGGTATCAGAACGCACCATTGGCCCAATATATATGGAAATACTAATCACTTTCCTGTAGTAGTGAATGTGGAAGAAACCAGGTTTTCTGTCCTACTTTGGAAAGTTATTTCTGCATGAAGGAAGAAATCAGCTTTCTTCAGGTTTCTGGAACTGACCCTAAGCAGTGGAAGTTTGTTTGCTTATTTGTTTTCCTCATGATAAAGGAAATGCATTGATGGCTTTTTGTCACTTGCAGAGCAGAACTGGCAGAACTTATGTACCTGAGATGGCAAAGGATTGTTTTAGTGGAAATCTAAAGAGCTGCTCTTGGTGTATCAGAAGTAAATTGAAAGTATTCTAAAATAATTGGTTTTTATTATATTTGATAAATGAAACTTAAAATCCTTGAAGTGTACTGTGTTTCAAGCCAATACTTATTAAATTCAAGGAAAAAAATGTATGAAAGACTTAATATTGGTTTTCATGAGCTGATCCATCTCTACTTGATGGATCTCATTATTTCTATAAAGGGAAAGGTTACAGTTGATGAAAAATGGTGATTTTGAAGGGTAAAAATTCAACCTCCTTATGTACTTGGAAAGGAAATTAGGCTGCAGTCTGTTATGAGGCTTAGTTGTAAACAAAGCGTTTGAATAAGCTGAGCTCTACAACAAATGGCAGAGAATTCTCTCAGTCTTGGGATAATATTCCAATACTTTGGGTTTGAGTTTGGGAATAGCTTTTCATTTTACTATTTTGAAGGATGACTTAAAAACTTTCTTTTATTTCAACATTGTTCAAACTATTTTAGCTAGCTCTTGGGATGTTAGAATCTGGACCTGAGAGGAAGTGAATTATATAAATACTTTAGATGTTATTAAACGTAGGTTTCCTTTTATTCCTTATTTCCTTATCCTTTTACAAACATACATAATTCTTAGAATTTCATTGTTTTTTTCTGCATAATAGTGTTATTTCAACAAGTATAGTCCAGGAAAAATTTGTCTGCCTCACAATACTGTATATAAATAGATAAACAATGCTTTTAGTATGCTGCAGCGCCCAGAAGTTTTTCTTAGGCCAATGTTTTGATCTGAGACAGTTTTGTGTGTTGCAGCTTGAATGCTGTGTGAAGTTTCTTTCCCTCAACATCTGTTTGGCAAGAGTCAAAGCTATTGCAATGAAACCTGTGTGCATGTAGCCCCACAAATACAGAACACGCAACATATGTTCCTTGGGGAAGAAAAAAAAAAAAACCTGTCAAAATCAATATATGTTATTGTGAAACTTCTTTCAATATAATATACTTTGAATTATGAGGGTAAGTGGCAGCTGCTTAACTTGCAATTTCTACATGTTACTCAGAATGACATTAATTGAATTTTCTTAGCTTACTTCTTGGCTCAGGCTTGATAATAGTGAGAGATTTTGCTAACCGTCCTGAAGAAGGAATTAGGAGAAAAATACATACGAGACATATCAGTGCCAATCTTATTAACCAAGTGCACATCGTCTTGATGCGCTTGGCAGTCTGGAATGGGACCTTTCTGTTAGGATGAAATCTGCTGCAGTCAGGTGAACCTTGAGTATTGGGACCTTCTGCACGTTTCTACAGCTTGAAGTGCACCAGGGGACTTCCCTTGATTCACTGGGATTTGGGCTGGGCTCTGTGTGGGTTGAATGATGCCTCATTAGTAAAGAATATGCATATGTTAGGGAACGGAGGAGCACAGTTTGTCTGCATGGTTTGCTGGAAGAGGAGACTTGGGCATTCCCGTGCAGCTTCTCCATTTGAGGCTCTCGGTGAGAGTTGGTGTGCTGCAGGGTCAGCACTGGTGAAAACGGGCTTCATTCTACAAGTATCACTGAGCTGATGGGAATCTAATTGTATTACATCTGTTTCTGCCATGAATATATTTGTCTTTGCTTTTCCTTTGGAAGATGTCTGAGAAGATTATAGTTGCAGTCTGATGTATCCTAGCTCCTACCAACCTTAATGGTGAATGTGAAAAGGGCATATATCCCACATTCAAAAGAGACCAGGTACAAGTTAAGATACGGAGTATCTTAAGTCAAGGCTTCATGGTAAGATTGTGTTCTCAGACCTATTTTGGTTACGGTGCGTCAAGAGGGCATAATTAGAAAATAGCCACCTTGTGTTTTGATTTAGCAGTCTCGCGAGCCCCTGTGCAATGCGTTTACAGATCCTAAATAAAAATGTTTAGAATAATGAAAATTCAGTTTTCAAAAGTGATCAACATATTAGAGATGGAAGTCTCTGAAGTTTATAATAATGCTTAGGATCCCAAGATTTTGAAAAATATGGCGACACCCAACGATTCTGCTAAGTGTACTGTCGAATTTTCAAAAGTAAATGAAGCAGTTATCAGTGAAAATGGGTGTACTTAAACTACTCTTGAAAATGGAATTCAGTTTTCTATTATCACTTAAGTGCATTTGAAAATTCAGCTGTTTTTTCCTTCTCACTGTGCGTAAAGAAAAGGCACTAAAGATGTGTGTTTATCCTGTTTTTATTGTGCATCTGGCAGATGCAATTTAGCTATATAATGTTCATTATTACGTAATTGAACTATTCAGCAGATTAGTGTTTATAATGAGTGGATTGAACTTCTGTTGCTAAATTAAAGATCAGTGTGCCATTTGTGCTCTGTAGTGTCAGTGCCTTCCCACTACCTCTTAGGCAATATTTTTCTGCCCTGTTTTCTTATGAAAAATAAAAGGGAAAAAATAGAAGACAGTAGTAACGTTCTGGTCTCAGTGAAGTTAGAGGGAGTGCTGTCACAAGATTCAGTAGCGCTAAGATTTTGTTCATCATGTATGTTGCTAAGCTTTCACATTTAAGAATGATAAATATGCAAACAGAGCTTCACTGGGCATTTTCCATTACGGTTTGAGTTGAATGTTAATAAGGAAATCAAAGGGGACAGGATGGTGAAAGTATGAAATGTAGCCAAAATATCATCTCTAAGACCTCTAATATTGTAATAAATGCTGCTATCCAATGTGACATCTTTTTCCTTAAAGAAAGTATTTTGTATTGTATTTGAAAGCACTTGATTTAAAGCGTTTGAATAGAGGCAGTACAAAAAGTTGTATTTTCATTTTATATGAAATTATTTCTAGTTTGTTGCTCCAAAACAGATTACAATGAAACCAAATCCTAAATTTCCTGCCAAGTATGGTACTAACATCTATACTTAATAGAAAATTGTAATTTTGTTCTGACTTCGATAAATTACAACAGATAATGTTGAATAGTAAGCAGAAAGAAAAGTGGACATTTGTGTTGATACGATAGTTTTAGCTATGGCATTTTATTTATCAGATTAGTTTATTCTTGCAAATACTGATTTTAAAATTCTAATAGCTTTATACTACTTTACTGTGTAATGCCTTTCAAGGATCATAGATTTCGGTGACTATCATATTCACATCCAACTTGGATACATTTTTCTGTGGTTCAGAATGTAAGGCCACACGCTGAAGGATTTTTTCTCTCTTGTTCTTCACTCAGTCTATTGCTTTTCATACTGTATATCCTTACTGAAATACTATTTTTGCTGTGATTTTTTTTTCCCCTTGAGCAACAAGGAGGTTTAAATCCCTTCATAATACATCTAGTTGTAACTAACTGTCCTTTGGAGGCATATCTGTTCCTCCTTCCAGCTGGTGGTATCACCTGCAGAATCTCACAAATCCATCTGTGGTAGGAATCAATTCATCACTGGTGCCCGGTGTTATCCCTCACTTAAGCTTGCTTCTTCAAAAGGCTTTAAGAAAGTAGACAGCAACAGTTCTCCTATAAAATCATTGTCAAAAAGCAAAAGTTCCTATACAGTGAGGAGTTTACTTCAGTTTCTGAAAGCGAGATAGGAAGCTGCCGTTTCACACCCAAATGTTTGTTGTCCCTATCAAATCATATTCAGCTCTGTTAAAAACTAAACTTGGAGTTTCAAAGCTTTTTTCACGTAAAAAACCTATGAAATGTATACCTGGCAAGCAAAACAAGCCCAAAACTTCTCAGCAAAACTGAATTCTTGTGACTTGCACTGAATTACATTTCCAAGCTGCTGCTTGGCAAAATTATGTTTGCTGTCCCAGGAAGGAGGAATTGTGGCAGGAGCAAAGCTTCATCCTCTACAGGAAGGGAATGAGGAGGGAAAGGGAA